GCAATATAATTAAAAAACATTGTTTTAAGTAAAAGATCATTGTTTCTTATTATTTTATCTCTGCCAGAAGGTAGTTCATCAAATTGACAAATGCGGAGAAAAATAAGATTAATGAAATGGTTTCTTTCGATCCTATACTCTTGCCCAACTCTGACTTGTTTTCTCCTCAGTATGTCTATTACAGAGAGATTCTAAGAAGAGTGGAAAACACAAAGGTTAGGAATGAGTTTACAAAATTAATAGCATTCTTAATGCAAGAGAAACAAGCTTCTTTCATATATTCCCTCCTCCAAAGCACATAAAGTTCTACATGCCCTGCAGTGTGCCAAATCAACTCTTACTCTTCACAGTAATCCTGTGCTGTAAATATGAGCATCATCCCCACTTTACAGATGATGCAACTGAGGCTTACAAAGATTGAGAAACTTGCTGAATGTTACACAGCTATTAGGTGGCAGAGAGCCAAAGAGTCTTGACTCTAAAATCCATACTATTTACCCACTACTACACCACTTATTACTATATTGCAGATGAAAGGGTACTGGGTTCCAGACTCAGCTTCACCCCTTGGGCAAATTATTTGACCTTGCTTAGAAGTCTGTCATGGGTGAAGAGGGCAACTGATGGCTTTCCAGTCTTCTCCACAGCATCTGACTGATGCTAAGAATTAAATTGCAAATATGCCATAAAAACTATAGAGCACCAAGTAAATGTGAGGTTTTTTTTTTTTAAACTTGAGCCAAAGTGGAATATATTTTTATCCTTTCAAATAGTTCAAGGTCCTAAAAATAAGCTTAATAGTAATTAAATGATTAATATTTATAAGCAAAAGTCTGATAAATCAACTTCAGACATTCTGGAAAAGTCTAAACTATGGAAACAGTAAAAAGATCAGTGATCGCCTTCAGCATGAGAAGAAACAGAGGGATGAACAGGTGCATAGATTTTCAGCGCAATGAAACTATTCTGCATGAAAAAGGTAGAAATATGTCATTATATATTCCTAAATTCTTCCTAGTTATTATTTACTTATTTTAACTATTTCAAAGAAAGAGAAAGCCAGAGATTTCCCATCCACTGGTTCACTCTCCAAATGCCCACAACAGCCCAAGTCTCCCATATGGGTGGCAGCGATCCAAGTACTTGAGCCATCACCTGCTGCATCCCTAGGTGCTGATTAGCAGGAGACTGGATCAGAAGTAGAGCAGCTGGGACTTGAACTGGCACTCCGATTATGGGGTGCCAGCCCAAGAGCTTGATGTTCTTAAAAAAAAAAAAAAAAAGATCACTAAATTTGAAAGGCAGAGTTAAGAGACTGAAGCACAGAGAGACAGACAGACAGACAGACGGAGAGGTAGGTAGGGAGGTAGGAAGGGAGGCAGGCAGGCAGGTCTTCCATCCACTGGTTCACTCCCCAGATGGCCACAACAGCCAGAGCTGCGCCAATCCAAAGCCAGGAGCCGGGAGCTTCTTCCAGGTCTCACACGCAGGTGCAGGGGCCCAAGAACTTGGGCCATCTTCCACTGCTTTCCCAGGCCATAGCAGAGAGCTGGATCGGAAGAGGAGCAGCCAAGACGCACACCAGCACTCATGTGAGATGCCAGCATGGCAGGCAGCAGCTTTACCCACTAAGCCACAGCACCAGGCTCGAGCTTGATGTTCTTAAAAGTGCCCAGGACCATCTGGGGAGTGAACCATCGATGGAAGATCTCTCTCCCCATGTTGTCCGAGAGAACTTTATGCAGTATTGGCAATATTCTAAGATCTGCTCTAATACAGTAGCCCTAGACACACTGCCTATTGGAACAACTGAAATTCTGAAATTTGACTAGCATGCCTCAGGAACAGAATTTTTTTTTCATTTTTTAAAATGTATTTGTATTTGAATGGCAGGAGAGTCAGAGATCTATTCACTGGTTCACTCCCCAAATGCCCACCACAGCTAGAACTGGACCAGGCAGAAACCAGGAGCAAGGAATTCCCTCTGGTTTTCCCACATGAGTGGCAGGTATCTAAGTACTTGAGCCATCAACTGCTGCCTCCCAGGGTGTACACAGGAAGCTAGAAGGGGGAATAGAGCCAGGACTCAAACTCAAGACGCTATCACATGGAATGTGGGTGTCTCAAGCAGCATCTTAAACACTATGCCAAATCCAAGTCCCCAGAATTTTAGATTTTAACTTTAACAAATTTAAATAGCCACATGTTGCTAGTGGCTACCACACCAGCAGTTTTATACAATTCCTAAAGAGACCCTTACAGATTTACTGTAATATTACCTTCAGAAGAAAAAAGCTGCCTCAAGAGACCATTCAAATGTGGAAGGGGAGAGGGAACGGGAGAGGGGAGGGTTGCGGGTGGGAGGGAAGTTATGGGGGGGGGAGCCACTGTAATCCATAAGCTGTACTTTGGAAATTTATATTCATTAAATAAAAGTTAAAAAAAAAAGAGACCATTCAAGTGGATGTAGTTGAGAAACAATGTCACAATTAGCTGAGCAGGTCACAATTAACTGAGTGACTAGGCTGCTTAAAACCACCAGGAGCCAATAAATCCCATTACCAACTGTTTCTCACTTCAAGTCCCATAATGTAACCAAATAATGACAAAACAGTCACTTTACCTTTAATTCCTTCAATATTTTCAAAAGAACACAATTTGTTCCAGTTAGTGACCCGAGAGGAAATTAAAATTAAAAAAAAAAAAAAAATAAGGGTCATAAGGAAGTAACTAAAAAATGATTCTTGCAGATACAATTTATTCAACTAATTTTTTTTTTTGACAGGCAGAGTGGATAGTGAGAGAGAGAGACAGAGAGAAAGGTCTTCCTTTGCCGTTGGTTCACCCTCCAATGGCCGGCGCGGCCGGCGCGCTGCGGCCGGCGCACCGCGCTGATCCGATGGCAGGAGCCAGGTGCTTCTCCTGGTCTCCCATGGGGTGCAGGGCCCAAGCACCTGGGCCATCCTCCACTGCACTCCCGGGCCACAGCACAGAGCTGGCCTGGAAGAGGGGCTACAGGGACAGAATCCGGCGCCCCAACCGGGACTAGAACCCGGTGTGCCGGCGCCGCAAGGAGGAGGATTAGCCTACTGAGCCACGGTGCCGGCCTCAACCAATTTCTTAATGAAAATTCAAATATCAGTATTTAACGGTGTATTTTTAATTCTATGTCACAGTCAGTTGGAAATCAAAAGGACAAAGATGCCCAGAAATGCATGAGCAAAGAAAGAAGGCGTAAGGCAAGCAAAGTAAGACCAGAGAGATACTTATGACTATTCATTTTCAGCTGTTAACCAGAGCTCTGAACCTCCAGGAGTCATTACCTCTTATCTTGGTCATTGGAAATACTAGTTGACTAAACCTCAGTTCCTAATTCACCGATTTTTTGTCCTTATGCCAGTGGCATAAAAGGGAACTTATGTCCTCAATTGCAGTGGCTTTTTATCAGAGTTCTCCCCTGGGGAATCTACCAAATCAGACAGAGACTGGCTCCCTCCCCCAAGGGAATAAGTGTCGAAAGTGTCAGAGTTGAATCCCTACAGTACGTTCGGTCCACAGCTTCTTTTTCAGTCCTGCAAGCACTGGATCTTTCTTTTAGAATACAAAGAGAGGGAGAGAAAGAAAAGAGACGTAATTGAGAAGTCGCAACACACTCGTGCACAGACATCAAAATACCTGACCTTAGAAACAGGCCCCCAACAGCTAATTTTTGACATTTTGCTCAGATGAAAACCAGACCTTTGTTCTCCCTTTTGAAGTTCACGAATCACATTAAGGAAAAATATTTCGTAATTTCATACAGGAATGATTTTTAAGAGTATTGAAATACGTAATTAAGCAATATTACATAGCCCCGTGCAACCAAGCAGGCGATCCAACGAGGTGAACGTTTCAGTAAGCTCACCTGCAAGGAAAAACAGTGTTTCCACCTTCTCAGCCCCATTCCCTGCAGGGCTCCGTTCCTGGGCACCGAAAGCTCTCATACCCTATTCGTTGTGCAATCTTTTTCAAACTCCACCCACTGAGCGCAAGAACAAGTGGAATTCTCCCATTCTGAAAAAGGTCTCGATTTCTCCTGTATCCAGGGAGACACTGAAAACTCCTTGACGTGAGTCAAGTAAGGCAAGGGGAACGGTCCAGCCAAGGCCAGGGTCAGGGAGGCGCTCAAGTTTCCGTTCACCAAATGAAAAAAAAAAAAAAAAAAGAAGAAGAAGAAAAGAAAGAAAGAAGGGGTGGTGGGGAGGAGGACAGCAGGGCTGGGAGGACAGCTATCAGGCAACACTGCTCCCAAGTCTGCGGGACCAAGGTCCCCTGGCATCGCCTCTCCATCTCCGGCTCCACGTGCATCCAGGCCTGTGGCACGCAGACGAGCCCCAGCGCTTGGGTCCCGGCAGCTTAGTGACCCCCAGGCCCCACGGTGCTCACCGGCCCGCTGTCCGCGCAGTTGCGGGGAGCGCAGAGGGCGGGGGAAGGAGGACGAAGCGCAGCCCCGGCTCCCGCGCGGTTATCTTACTGCGCAACAGCCTCACCAGAGCTGCCCGCGTACATCCCGCAACGCGCCTTGCGCACCTGCCGGGTCCAAGCAGGGTGAGCCGTGATCCCATTGAGCCCCAAGACGGCAGCGCCCGGCGCCGGGAGCACGGTGACGAAAGGGGCTGAGTGAACACCTGGCGCCCGGGGCCCAACAGTGCCTCCCGCACGTGGCTGTCACACCTGGCGCGCCCCTGCCTGGCACTCCGTACCCCTCACACTCGGGTGCGCCCCTGCCCTTCCCCCCTCCGCGTCACACCCCTGAATCTTTACCGTCGTTCCTTCCCCCCTATCCATCCTGGTCCCACCTCCCCCGCACCTGCTCCCACTGTCGTCAACCCCGGGAGGGAAAAGGGCCGGATGTTCGTCCCATGGCTAAAGGTAAACCGGAGAGAGTGAGGAGGTGGATCCCGAAAAGGATAGCCCGAGCATGCCCTCGGTCCAGCAACGAGGGCGTCCCCCCGACTGACCTTCTGTCGCGGGCCGCGTCGCCGTCCACCCCGGCTGGCCTCAATAGCCTCCTCGGCGCCGCCGCCTCTTCCCCGCGCTGCCTCCTCTACCCGCGTCGCCATGAGGTGACGGCAGCAGCCAAACAAGCGGCCCGACGAGAGGCACGGAACCTCTCAGGGCCTTGCGCCCCGCCCTCAAACCCTCCCGGCCTATCGCCGTATGTTAATCTTCCCACGTGACCGGAGGAGGTTGGCCCCTGAGGGGATGAAGCGAGATGGGGGTGGGGAGCATTGAATTCTGGGCTGGGCTTCTGCGAGGGCCGAAGGGCAGACAGAGGCCATGAGAGTCTGCGCGGACCCGAAAAAGGACTCGGAAACGTACTACAAATCCCAGCAGGCAGCGCAGCCACGACTCGCAGACCCTCAACGGCACTGAAGCGTAATACGGCGTCCTGAGAATGGGAGAGTAAGTGCTGTGCTGCGTGTGCAGCCTAATGGGTCTTGTAGTTTCTGCGGGCGATGTCCCGGTCCCGGAAGGTACACATTATCCTTCAGGGAAACTTTTAATATAGTCCAATACTTGAGAAGGAGCGGGGCCAGGGACGCTTTGTTGTGTTTTTGTTTTTGTTGCTGTTTTCTGAAATTGAGTGCGAATGGTTTGCTGATAAGGAAAGATACTTCGCTATGTTCATGGCGGGAACTGTAAAAGATCAGAATTTGAGGTTTGGGGCTTGGAGTGCTGCCCTTCCACCAGTTACTAAGGCTTCTCTGTCTCCCCCTCCTACAGAATGGGGCTGCCTCCTATTCACCTTGGCTGAGCCTTCAGCCCAGGACTTCTCGCACAGTTCTTTGCACTTAGCTGGACCCTAATTCATGTTGATTGTATCCTCCTCTCTGCCAGTCATTTCATTACTTCAGTTTTTCTACAGACTCGGTTTGCTGAATCAGTTTTTTTTTTTTCTTGATATGATTGGGAAGGAGAAGAGTTTTCCTCGGAAATATTTACTGTTTCCATATGATGGGAGTAAATCTCTAATGGCAGAGCCTCTGAAAGTTACACACCATTATGAAATCCTAACATATGAGAATTGTCTTAAATAACTCTTCATCAACGTGCAAATTCTGCGCCATTTTTTATAACAATTGAATACAAAACAGTGGTAGCAGGCACCAAAAAATTGATAACATATGAGAGCAAATTTCAACATTGGGGAAATTCCATCCATTAATTTTAATTACATTTATAAATTTGGAAAAATTACCATTCATCTGCTTTACGAGCAGAATACCTCAGTACAGCTTTGAGGCAGGTGGCCATACACCAGACTCTATAAAGCTGATGGTCTCAGTCACTTTGTCTCATCTTCTTAAAGACATAAGCCCCAGCAAGATGCAGAAGGAATCTATCATAATGCATTTCTCCAGGGAATTGAGTGACCAAATGTACAATAGTTAAATGATGGTACAATAGAATACCATACAACTACTAAAATGATAAGCACTTTTTAATTGATCTAGAGAAAAAGATTTCTTTTAGTAAAATTACCTGAGACTATGTTAATAGATGTTTAGAAGAGTATTCATCAAAATGTTAATAGTGTTTTCTCTGGGTGGTGAGATGGCAACTATTTTCACTTCATGAGTTTAGGCAGTCTTTAAGTATGTATGGAACAAAAAATGAATAGTTATGTTCACCAAGAAATTATTTTTATATCCCTTGTCTATATTCCCATGGAACAGTGATCTTTCTACATTTTACTTGTTGAACATGATGGTTAGTGGTATATTAAGCCTGTGATTTTAAAGTAAACTGAAAGTATGTTATTTCAAGAATTAAAGGAAAAAAGAAAGGAAGACAGGAAGGAGGAATTGAAAGAGAGAGGGAGGGAAATATGCTTATCTGCTTAGAATTGTTTCTATGAAATACATGAAATCTGTTCTCTATATTAATAAAAAGTTTTTGTTAAAAAAGGGAAAAAAGAAAATGAAATATACAAGTGACCTAACATATAGCTACTCATATATTAATATATAAATACCACGTGATATATGCATATGTGTGTATACACAAGCATGTTCACATGCGTGCACATACCAAGGAATGAGAATGAAGTGAAAAGATAGGAAAACAAGATGGTGTCATGATAAGTTGAATTTATTATATACATATCTTAAGGATTGTACACAAGCTGGAGGTGAACCAAATTTTTATTCTGAGCTTCTTGACAGCTGAGAAAATAGGAAAAAGCACAATTTACCGATTGATTCAAAACATCACAAAACAAAAACTAGTTGCTCTTATAATTTCTTTTTCTCAAAAGCAGGAGTTGAGAACTCCATCTGGGTCTCCCAGATGGTTTCTTTTTTTTTTAAGATTTATTTATTTACTTGAAAGAGTTACACACACACACACACACACACATACAGAAAGAGAAAGAGAGAGAGAGAGAGAGAGGTCTTGCATCCACTGGTTCGCTCCCCAGATGGCCTCATCGGCTGGAGCTATGCCGATCCGAAGCCAGGAGCCAGGTCTTCTTCTGGGTCCCCCATGCAGGTTTAGGGGCCCAAGTCCTTGGGCCATCTTCCACTGCTTTCCCAGGCCATAGCAGAGAGCTGGGTCAGAAGTGGAGCAGCCAGGTCTCGAACCAGCGCCCATATGGGATGCTGGCACTGCAGGCGGCGGCTTTACCTGCTGCACCACAGTGCTGGCCCCTCTTATAATTTCTTTAACATAGGTTCTGTTGCTCTTAAAATCCATTCACAAGGTCTTTGATGCTCTTCCTTTGAAAAGATGGAGTCGATTCCCCTTGCCTTGAATATGAGCCAGACTTAGAGATTTTGTTTCTAAGAAATACAGCATAGCAGAAGCAGAAGAATGCAGGAAAGTAACTTCCAAAGCAAAGTGAGAGAAAGGATAGCTTCTGCCTGGCTCTCTGGGTCTTGGATGACTCTCTTCTTCCTTGGATCTGGCTATCCTGATTTTTTGATAGACCCATTCTTTCATTAAAGTGTTATATTACAGGCCTCCAGAGAGGTTACTGTCAAGCCTTAGCCCAAGGCTTTGGAAAGCACTTTGCTTATCTCAGCCAGGATCCATTGCTGGGGTTACATTTTAGGTCTTCAAGAGCTATGGTTTCCTTATTCTCAAGTCTTAAAGGGGCACCCCATGTTCTTTATTGATTGTTCTGACCTTTGCTCCAGGAAGTATTATCTCTGTGAAGAACTGTGCCTGCCAGGAGGGTAAAGGTCATAAGAACAACAGCTCCTTGTTGAATAGGGGGCAGTTTCTCCAAGCTCCCTAAGGGCTTTGCCTGTAACCTGAATATTTTATGGGTCCATTTATTCAGCTGTTTATCAAAGTCTTGATGAGGCGGGCACTTTGACACAGCAGGTTAAGAATAAGATATTGCTTGGGATGCCTGCATCCCATACTGGAGTGCCTGGTTGGAGTCCTGACTACTCTACTTCTCATCCAGATTCCTGCTAACGCACCTGGGAGGCAGCAGGTGATGAATCAAATATTAGGACCCTGCAACCAATGTGGGAGACCAGGATGGCTCCTGGCTTAGGTGTGGCCCAAAGGTGTTTAGGAAGTGAACCAACACATGGAAGACTTCTCTCACTGTATGTGTCTGTATATGTGTCTGTGTGTGTCATTCTGCCCTTCAAGTAGATAAAAATAAATTAAAAAATTTTAAACACTGTTTTTTTTACTTGAAAGGCAGAGTTACAAAGAAGCAGAGGCAGAGAAAGAGAGAGAAGTTTTCCATCCGCTGGTTTACTCCCCAGGTGGCACAATAGCTGGAGCTGCACCCTTCTGAAGTCAGGAGCCAAGAGCTTTTCCAGGTCTCCCACTTGGGTGCAGGGGCCCAAGGTCTTGGGCCATCCTATGCTGCTTTCCCAGGCACATCAGCAGGGAGCTGGATTGGAAGTAGAGCAGCTGGGACCCTAACTGGCGCCCACATGGGATGCTGGCACTGCAGGCTGGGGCCTTAACTCACTGTGCCACAATGCCAGTCCCAATAAATATTTTTTAAAAAGTCTTGAACAAGCAGGCACAAAACAACTGGTATAAATAGTAAGCTGAGCTCAATTATGTCCCAACTCCTTGACCTATTAGGTGGTTCTGCCTTCATTTTCATGAAATACAAAGTACTCAGAGAAGACTCACCACTATTACTGAGGCAGGAGTTTTTTCGGCCACATAGCCAGTATCAGGGAACTGGAACCCTCAGAGTTCATAGCTAGACACAGGGGCGATTTAGAAATTTAGCCTGGAGTATTATCCCAGAGAGAACAAGCAGCAGATTTACAAGAGTCTTATACTCTGTTAATGCAAGGGTGATGAGACTGTCACATATTTTAAACTATGTACATATTTTGAATATCACTGATTTAATTAAATTAATGTGAGCCCATTTCTAACACCACTTACAATGGTAATACTAATTTCACCAATGAAAAAGATATTTCTACCTATTTTACTACTTAGCAAAGACTCTGATGTTGATTGAACTATGGCTAACAGAAGCATATGCAGTGGCTAAAATATAGAATGTGGATTCTGTGACTGATACTAGCTGACCACCTGGCATATGAAGTCCTGAGAAGGATCATGAACAGCCTTTGACCTAATACAACATCCTCCTCTTTGTCCTCCTCCTTCCCCTCCTTCTGTTCTTCCTCCTCTATCTTTGCTAACAGTAAATTACAGACCCCACGATACCGTAAAACAAAATCGAAGGTACTGGCAGATCTAAAGAGGCAATGTAGCCATCAAGAGTGGAAACCTAAAAACCTGGGGAGAGGGTCAGGAAGGTCAGGCTGGAATGTTTGGAAGACTCAGAATCTTGGTCAAAAAGAGAACTTCAAGAATAAGCTACCCTGCGTGTGGGGTGGAGGCCCCAGTTATGTTAACCTAATGGCTTTGATCAGTAGCAGTTTTTCTGACTTCTTACCAACTTCCCCATTGTCATCAGGACTCCTACATGGCTCTGACCACAGAGAGAGAATGCAGAGATGTGTGAGACTCTCAGGTTGCTCATTGTTCATAAAAGTGGATTTTGACTTTATACATCAGGACTAAGAGCTTGGTTAATATGTAGCTACCTCTGAGAGAGGGCGTTCAGAGAA